CTCTTCATACTAGACTACACACGTCTGATATGTCCTGCTGGAATGTGACATGATGTGTCGTGTGTTAAGGTGGCATGGATCACGTATGGTGTCAAAATGGTATATATTTATATTTCTCCTCCAACCACATTTCATCCTATCCGGGAGGCTTCATATAGCTGGATAGATTTTTTTTTTTTGCTGTAATAGAATGAAAACAAGCTGAAATGAAATAGAAGTAACGAGGCTGTTGTTTTTTTTTTTTAATTTACAGAGGTAAAAAGTCGGCTGAGAAATAATTATTCTGGTATAGTACAGATAATCAGAATTTATACTTAACTAACAAAGTGTTACTTTACACCGTTTATCCCTGGAGTACAAAGAAAGCCAGAAAATGTGGACCAAGGTAACGTCGGCTGAAACAAACTCTCCTCCAATGAACGGTGGAAACAAATCTACTCAGCAGAGAATCCACGATGCTCTCAGTCAATCTGTCCCTTATGAGCAACAAAGTGAGAGCTGGAATGAACACAAACCGTGGCATATTGTCTCACTAAAGATAAGTTGCCGCTCCACATGGTGGAAAAGGTGGGCTTCAAATCACAGCTGTTAAAATGAAGACGTTAGTTTGACTGAAGATTTGTTAGCATCATATTAGGGTTAACTGATGTAGAGTCAAAAACATGCAACTATCATCTTTACCAGTTAAATACCACAATTAATCATGGTCATTTTTAATTTAATGTTTTTGCCAATATTGCCCAACCGTAGTAGCAGAGAGTCGCACACACTGAGCACAGATATGTTGCGAAAAATCTGTTTAACCATTGGAGCCTGTTAGAAAAACGCTCATGACCTACTGGACAGATTTTAATAAAACTGTCAAAGTGCATTTGTACTTCAATAACCTTTTAAATCAACCCAGTTCAAGCTGGCTGCTATAGCCAACTGACATTACAGCTCAGACAGTTTTACAGATACTGAGCTAAAATTTGGTGCGGTAGCTGAGAGTCATCCACAACTGTCAAACTTTTCTCTAGATTTCACAGTACCAGCAGGATGTCACTTCTAAATGCATTGATGAGGTTTGACCAATGTGGTTTTCACTTATTTCTCATCAATATAAAATCTCAGTTTTAAACTCTGACATGGAAGGCAGCTTTTGCATTCCTGCAAAAATAATTTATAAAAATAACCTGCTTTTATTTTCCTTGTAAAAACATTGCATTGATGACCCTACAGCACTTCTAGAAGCGTGAATTAATCTCAACCTCACAACATTAGAGGCTCAGTTAGTTGTGACRTATAAGAAGGCGGTTTGGATATGAAACGTGCATAGAAGCAAATCTTTTATTCATTGCATCTTATTAAACTCTGCAATCCAAATGGGCAATAAAAACATGGCGCATGAAAATTTAATTACATGTAAAGGATTTCAAGTACTTGGTTTCYATGACTAAGAAGGCTGAAAATCATGACACTGTGTAAAAATGGTTTGCCATTTCCGAGAATTAATTTCTACATTAAACGACAAACAAAAATTACTTATGGTRGAAGTTCACATTGTGAAGCTCTGTTTTTTCAATCACATGCCATAACATCTAACAGAGACTGTGTTGATATGATTTGCAATATAATATTGTGTCAAAGCATTAAAACTGAAGCCCCTGATTACTCTTTGTCCATTTCTCCTCTCTTTTATCACCGTTAACAACCATCCACGGATGTTCCTGAGTCAAGTAGCGATGTGCAGATCGATACTGAAWTATCAATACTMCCGATRCCAGAACGTTATGTTCTAGAATCAATACTAAAATCAATATATTGATACTTTGATACTTTAGTTATTTCACAAATTGTATTTCATTAACAGGAAAATAGTGGAAAATAACTAAACTATTCCAGTCTTGTCTCAATCATATGTGGCTGGAGGGAGCTACTTTTTCTTCCGCTTGGATAATGCATAAGCATAAGCTGTGYTCAGTCACTCACTCAGTCTGTAGATGTATGGCAGGTCATTTTAACATAAAATGGGCTTCGTCTGTCTGTAATCAAATTCTAGGTGAGGGGTTCCCAAACGTTTTCATGCCATGGCCCCCCAAACATCATTAGCTCTGGCCAGGGACCTTCTTGCAAACTCACAAACAATACTACAAAATATACAAAGTAACAATATTTTTTCTCACTTTTATTCGCTATTCAAAAAGTATTATATTTCTTTAGAATAAAAATTTTAAATTGTGCTAAACAAATATAGTTTTGGGGTTCGAAAGACTTTATATTTTAATAAAGAAATTAATAAATAAATTACTATGTCAAGTATTATTTATAAAGCGGTTATTTGAGAAACACTACATTTTAAGATTTACTAGACACAGTTTCATCATGAAGTATCAGAATCGAATCAGTATCGCCAATACCAGCCAAATTTTACTTCAGTATTGGAAATAAAATTGGCAGTATCGAACATCACTARAGTCAAGACTTGATGCATARCAATGACACCTGTGCATTGCACGATAAGTTACGTGATGTCCAATCCAGTAATACAGATCAATGCATACACGTCCCCCCARCTGCCARCGTTCATCCAACCGAATCGTTACAACTTCTTCAAACCCCATCTTAAACAGTCAATCCGACCGTCTTTAACAAGTGACACCCACAAACRTCAAACAGACCACTTAACTCCTCCCACTCACCAAGAACCTCCCCATTGACTTGATACTCCCTTCTTCTAAAACAAGGTGGTAGTAGTGCCCCAAGTTTTTTTTAATTCAAAAGGCCCAAATTAAACAAAACAAACTAAAGAGCAGTACAGATCCTGACATAATCAATCTATAAACCACAGTTGCTTTCTTTTTACCACATTTTCAGTTATCTATTGTAAAATTTTATTGGCAAAAAAAGGGAAGCATGTGCTTTTTTATTGAAGGCACTTTTTTGTCAAACTACCATCTGTAATACAGATGTTAAAAAAGAGCCAGTTCAATCATAATTCTCCCTTCTATAAAAGAGACATTTCTTCAAGCTACGGTTGGATAGAAGCCCCACACTGTCTCCTCCGTCAAGGGGAAATCAATCACTCTGTCCCTGGAGGAGCACCAGCTGGCATCAGAACCAACTGTGCTGTTTGGCCCCGCGAAGATTGGCTTCCTATATACGTCTCCTCATTCCTGCCTTTCAATCTGCAAATTAATTCCATGTGTTTACAGGCGCTTTCTGTCCAAGGGGAGAGGGAAAAAACAAACAAATAATAGCCTCACCTTAGCCAACTGCGTTATGGTTTCTTTCTTCGTTKTTGGCCTTCAAATAATGAAAAGCATAACAGGAGTTTAAATGTGGTGATGGGAAATTAAGTGGACCTTCAGTGCCAAAGTTTGTGAAAGCCCATTTGCAAAGTTTTGGTCAAAAGCRGAGCAGGAAACAATAAATTACATTCTGGGTTTGTGGCCTTTAGTGTTATTTCGGCCCTGAAAACTTTCTTATTTTTACTTTTTTTTTCCCTTGTTCAGACTCAACGTGATGTCACTGATGTAAAAGAGATGAACGACTCGTTGAGCCGGGTTTTATTAGTCGTGTGGATTTGTTTGGGCACCTCAGAGATTACTGAGCCGAGGCTACAATTAGAAGAGCTGGATTCGACGGTGGTGTTTGTGTCTCATTCCTCGCCTTTGTCTGTCGGTGAACTCTCTGTGGACTTTATTAAAAGAGGCTCTGTTCGCAGCGACCAGGTCTGTTTTAGAATACTGTGGGTTTTCACACCATCAGGAGGTCAATCAAATCAATTAAGGGACGTCCACCCTGTGTTGTTTAGAGCAGTCCCGTTGGTGTGTTGAGTGGAAACGCTGCACCTCACCTGCTGAGCGTGATTACTTCCTGTTGCGAAAGCCATTGAGAAATTAATTTATTGGATTTTCACTCAGGGAGTAACCCGTTACAATCAGCTGGTGTGCAGCTTACTGCACTGAGTAAAACACACAAAGAGCTAATTAGTAAGCGTGAGAACGTGCTTTTATTGATCAATAACCACATGTCCTGTTGCACGAGGCAGAGATGGCTTCCTTCCATCTTGTTCTGATAAAACAGTTGATGCGCAGCTGCAGCACACAGCTGGTGAGGAAAGGTTGTTGATAAGACACCAAGTCCTGCGTAATTAAAAGGAAATAGATTTGTAGAGACCGGCTACTTCCTGCAATTGTTTGATTTAATTATTCATGCTGGTGCCAACGTGGAGATAATTAGTTGTGCATCAATAAAACATGAAGCAGATGCATTTTATGGTTCTTTGACATCCATTTGTCAGTTCATTGTTGAGTGTTTCATGTGTAAACGGTAGAGGCTTCACTTGCAACAGAGATGAAATGTCGTGATTTGAGGCTTCTTTTTAAAAACAATGGCTGAAAGTATCAACACAACTACTATTTTTTATACACATAGGGGTACAACAACACATGTAACCATATCGAACAGTGCTTTAGGTTCAATACACACTTGTATCAAACAATTCAGAAATGTCAAATTTATTTTATCAGCTTGTCTTCTGAAGATGCTCTGTGTTGAAGGATCAGTGGATCTGTGTTCGACTACTCCACCTAGGCTGCATCGTCGAGCGCAGATCCACTGAGAGACTTGCTGTTTCAGCAACATTTAATTTAAAAACTGTTTTTTTTAGGTTAAACAAATGTTCATAATTAATATAAATAAATTACAAGTTAAAAGGGACATGGAAATTTCTCTTTTTTGTATAGAAAAAAAATCAAACCGTGAGACTAAAGTATTGAACCGAACCAAATCATGAATTTTCTGTATCATTGCACTCCCAATATATACAAATGTCAAAATAATGCCTTTTATAATGAAAACTTTGTTTTCAAAATGATCCTATTCCACACAGTTTATTTTTCTAGGTTACATTTAATTTAGCTTTTATTCATATCTTTAATTAAGCCTGAGCTATTTTTTTACATGCCATTAAAATGTGCCTTTTAACTCTTTTCATGATGACGTTCTCTCTGCAGGAATACACCATTGATGTCTTCTTCCGCCAAAGTTGGAGGGACGAGAGGCTTAAGTTTGACGGGCCCATGCAGGTCCTACCACTCAACAACCTCCTGGCCAGTAAGATCTGGACTCCTGATACCTTCTTCCACAACGGAAAGAAATCTGTGGCCCACAACATGACGACCCCGAACAAACTGCTACGACTAGTGGACAACGGCACGCTTCTCTACACAATGAGGTGCGTCACATCACCCTACAGTGAGATCTTTTCTTTTTCTTGGGGGGGGGGGGGGTGTACTTCATAAGTCATACTAACTGATACTCTYAGTACCTCAGCCAAGGTTGTGTGTGAGCCAAACTGGTATCATTCAAGGAGGTACTAAAAGCTCGTTACAAACTCATTTAGCGCAATAAGCACTCTGTAACTCTCTTTACTGCTCTATTTAAGTCAATTTGGATAAAATGAATCAATGTAACGTAATAAACACAGACAAGAAAGCTGTGTGTCTCGTGTCACTGCGACTTCACACACACAGACACACACTGCGGCGATACACATCCGATCCCACCCATGTCGAACGGTTTCTGTCTGCAGTGAAGCAGGGACACCTCGCTGCGCAGAACCGCACCAGAAACAATTAACTGATATCATCTGATCTTCACGTCGAATCTCTGAGTCAACCCTCCTCAAAGCAAAGAGAAACGTCTTTTTAAAGCTCATTCACAGGCTTTGTATTAGTTTCAAAGGAGAATCTTTTTATTTTGTGGTCTCAGTTGAGCGGATCTGGGTGGTGGTAGTTCTGCCAAGGCCAACAAACACACATGCTCTGATGTTGCACTTCGAGCGCTCCCATGTTTATGCATCTAAATCTGTGTGGAAAGATAACAGGTTGTGTTATGAAGGGAAGAATCATAATCCTCTGTCACATGAAGCCAAACAAACYTTTTACTTTTTTAACCCAGCTCAKYCATTTTATTCAGAGCTTCAGTACATTACTGTGAGTAAAGCTCAGATAAGTGGCRTCATATCTTTCAAATTATATTTAGGCTGAAGGTAACTCTTGTTTTTTTTAAATCATGAATTAGAATGACTAAACCTCTACAACTAATATAGATTGTGTTTTGAAATCTTACCATCCTACAGAGTTCATGCAGTGATGTCATCACAACTAATTATTACACTACACTTTGCCCTTTATGTCAATTAAGAAAGATAAAATTACTTTCATTGTCCAAAATTAAAGCCCAAATATTAATTTTTGGAAGCTACCACATTTTGAGTCTTTGGAATGCGGGGCTGTACCGTAGACTTGAATCTCCCACCGACATCCACCACTAACACAGGCTGCCTTATTGTCGCACTGTGATATGACTCTTTTTAAAAGCCTAATTAACTGAAACAAAACACATTTAAAATATTACTGTGTTTTTGTGTGTATGATGCAAAAATATTTAACAGCAAAAATCATCCATAAAGTTGAGGGGTCGTATTATACACATGAGTATTTTTTCTAATGTACTACCACAATAAATGTCAACGTTTTCTGAAACAAAATCCTGAAGTCCGTCCATCCATTTTCTTCCTCTTCCGGGGTCGGGTCGCGGGGGCAGCAGCCTAAGCAGAGAGACCCAGACTTCCCTCTCCCCAGTCACTTGGACCAGCTCATCCGGGGGATTCCCAAGGTGTTCCCAGACCAGCTGAGAAACATAGTCCCTCCAGCGTGTCCTGGGTCTTCCTCTGGGCCTCCTCCCAGTAGGACGTGCCCGGAACACCTCACCAGGGAGGTGTCCAGGAGGCATCCTAACCAGATGCCCGAGCCACCTCAACTGGCTCCTCTCGACGTGGAGGAGCAGCGGCACTCTGAGTTCCTCCTGGATGACTGAGCTTCTCACCCTATCTCTAAGGGAGAGCCCAGACACCCTGCAGAGAAAACACATTTAGGCCGCTTGTATCTGCGATCTTGTTCTTTCGGTCACTACCCAAAGCTGGTGTCCATAGATGAGGGTAGGAACRTAGAACGACCAGTAAACCGAGCGCAGAAGGCAAAATCCTGAAGTCTGAATGAAATTAGGGGTAGTGTTTTACACRAAGATTATATTCTTTTATGCTTCTCAAAAAATTGATACTGAAGTGTTCAAAGTGCAAGCCCAAATTAGACAGAGGAAACATATTCAGTGCGTATTTGTATTCTTCAGAACTGAGTCAAGCCTCCTGGAAATGACATAAACAAAAAAGGGGATATGACCTCACCAATCCAGGTGACCCAGTTCACAAACAAGGAGTTCCTCCAGTCATGTCAGAGCGAGGCATGTAAATAAGTAGTCACTAGGGACTTATTGTTCTTACTACAACTTAATCACAGTATTTTAATCATAGTATAAAAATAAACTGATGGCATATTGAATATAAAAATATTCTTAACATCTCAATAAAAAGACGTATATCGCATTATGCTCGAGTTGCATTGCCCACATTAATACAGTATACGTGAACATGCAGCAGTAAGTTAAAGTGCACAAATTTACAAACATCAACACCTGAAAGAAATAATTTAAAGTATAATTTTATTTTTCAGTCAGAACTTTTTACCGTTCGTTTACACGGAGGGGCGGGACTTAAACGTTTACTGCAGCAGGACCATTAGGAATCTTTATAACGTCTTGTTGTATTACATTCTGGTGTTTAGTTTGCAGTGTTGGTTGTGTTGATATTCTTCTCAGGTAATAGGGGAAAAACAATAACATCACACTAGATATAGAGTTCTGAGGTTTGAGCCTGGACTGTCAGTCAACAACACATCAAACCTACCAGCATGTAATCTGTGGATCCAGACGCCAGGACCTAGAGCCACTCAGGAACCCGCAGAGGCATGTTTGATGGGTAGGCATGGGTCGAGTCGGATTCAGGGTCGACCCATGGTGCGACCTGCATTCATAATGCAATTTGTTGTCGACCGTTACTTGCATGATGGGAGGGCACGCTCTACACAGGGGGATTCAGCAGAGCGATAGATAAAAAGGCAGCTTAAACTTTCTCCAGGTAGACAACTTTTATCTTCTCTGTGCTCATTCAGGGCCATGGTGGAGCTCGGCAGAAACAACCTGAGGACCTCACTGAGCCACTGTAACATAACTTGTTCATAAGCTTCTCTTCTAGTTYCATTCATTTCAGTTTAATACTGAATTTTGTGTTTTCTAGGGGGGAAACTGTGGAATGTTAAGTTGGGTTTGTCTACCTGACAATTGATAGTCTCTTTCCAAGCCTGTAAACAATTTGGTTTGCATTTAGAAAAACATTTTCCACCTTTTACCATGAGTTGTATGTCATTTTGATAAATAGCAAAGAATGATTTTGGAAGGGATCAAAAGTATATTTTTTTTTATTCTGAAGTTAGGTTTCATAAAGAGATAAAAATCGACTTATGATGCATATTTCGTCCCAACAAAGATATAGATTTACCCTCTTGTTAAGTGTGAACCCATTCAAAGGGTCAATTTTCTCTGACTGATTTTAAAGATAGCCCTAAAACTGGACCCCTGCCCTCAGACTCTGACAGCAGCTGTGTTCAGTCATCGGGTCTTCAGAAATCACCAGACGACCTGTGTGATTCAAGCTGAGCAGAGCCGTAAGTGGCGGAAATAAGACCTCATTTCCAGACAGATTCACAGCAGCAACATTTAAGAGCACACACGAACACATTCACACCTACTCACAACCCATTTCCTCTGCTAATAGACGCACAGATAGATCACTGAACATGAGACATTCAGACAGCTGAGTGACACGTCAGGAGAAAGGTAGGGAGGAAAAATACTGGGTTAAATTGGGAAACACACTGGTTTCATGTCTCAGACAACTTCAGAGGATTAAACTGTAACCTCAATACAAGATTTAGGGCAAATTTTCCCTAATTAAGCAGATATATATTTAATACAAATATTAAGTATCAGTTTGTTAGTCCAAGTTTGAGAAAAGTTATTTCCTTTAAGTGTCTAAAATCCTACATGTAGGAACTGGTAAAGGAAACCCAAGAAAACTGCACCCAAAAAAAAAAAAAAGATGCGGTTTCAATATTTTTGTGAAAAATTGCAATCAAATTTCACGATCCTCTTTTCTGTTCTTTAATCAAAACAGAAGAATTATTGTGAGTTTTAGCATCTCAGCTACAATCATCAAACATAGCAAATTTGTCTGGCCCATTTCCGCATTTCTGGCCCACATRATGCTCTCACACTCGGCCCACATACCTGAATGACAGCCCTTTGGTGGCCCAGATGTGGTGTGCCAGAGGTGGTTCATGCATGGGTCAGCACCACATAAATCAAACCATGAGTGGGCCTGTGGTGACATGCCATCTTTAAAACAGTGCCATCATTGCTAGACCTGGCCCACATCCTGTCAACAAAACACTTGCCGTGCCAACGGGGCCAGCTTGTCAGCAGATCTGCCCACACCAGTGCTATGTGGGAAGGTGAGAAACATCCCACACAGCAGACAGATGTGGGCCAGATCTGGAAATGATGGTGTTGTTTTTAAGATGGCGTGCAACAACTGGCCCAATTATGGTTTTGTTTTTGTTGTGCTGGCCCAAAGCATGACCACCTTTGGCAAACCATATCTGGGGCATCAAAGTGCCGTCATTCTTTGTGGTATCTGGGCCGAGTGTTGGTGCATTGTGTGGGCCAGAGCTGGACCAGATACCATTTGTTGTATGGGATGGTCATTTAGGCTGGGATAAGTTGTGCACAACAATCCTCTCACTACGGTCTAATAAGAAGTGATTAACTGTTGGGTTCAGTTAAAAATCTCACAGAGCTGTAAAGTAAGCACTGGATGTTCGTCTATAATGGACCAACTTTTAAAGATGGCTGCCACAGATAATTGACCTTGGCAAACACAAAAAAAGCTACAACTCACAGATTATGCTAAAACATTGGTGTGTTAGTAGCGTTGAGTCCTACTCATCACATCTGTTGAACGCTGATAGATTACATAAGAGCTTTGTTCAAAACTGAGGCATGCAAAGCATCCAGTAATACATATTCTGTTAAATATTGCTTGTTTTATTCTTTTCTCCTTCTGCTCATCATTCAAATTTAGCTCTTTTTTCTCTGTGGTGTCTTTGGCACTACTTTCTAAATGGAACGGGGCATTTACTGCAGCACACGCAATCAGTGCAGTCCCAAAAATCTGAGCTGCACCGCTTGACCTCTTCRTAACCTGGCAGATTACTGGCATACAAAGGGTAATTGTTGGGCACTTGGATTACAATGACTTTAGATTTATGGCTGTGAAAGCAGTTGATTGTGATACTGATGTTGCACATGTTGATATTACAATGGCAGTAATTTACATTATATATATCACAGCTGTCTTAATTTAAAACCCATGTTGGATATCTRTTTTAGCAGGGATTAGGTGCTAAAACCACAGAGCCTGCCCACATCACAAATCCCACATTAACCCGTGTGTGTACAGATGTTCTGCTGGCAGCACAGGTACAGTTTTAGGCTTTTACAATGTAAATCCATCTTAGGTGGAGTTCAGTGTGGAGCGTTTCAACACTCTGTTGATTAGCACGACCAGTTAAATCCAGTTAATCAGCACGCCTGCAGCAGCTGAACTAACAAACACCATGACGGCCCGAGTTTTGCCGGACTGCATCATTATTTTGAAAGGCGGAGAGCTGCTATTGTCTGCTGGAGCTGCTGYGGTTCTATTTTTGTCAGAGCATTTATCACTCACTGTCAGTTCACCTCTGCTTCCCACCAGCAGCTGTTCCCCCTATAGCTTATAATAACACTGAATGTTTGTTAAAAACAATTATAGGTTTCTCATTAAAACATTTTGCAGAAAGAATAATGTTAATAACTTGCTAAACCAGATTTTAAAACAAATCCAGCTGCACGATCAAAGATATGCAGAACACCTTGTGTACATGTCATACACTCACTGCTGGTAAAGTGTGGACAGAAGCAAGATAATTATAGTGCAATACTGCTTTTTAACAAAAAAATTAATATATCAGGCAGTTTTAAATCAAGAACACATAAGATTCAAGAAACTCAAAAAAAATAAACTCTTATTATAAATTCTAAAACAAAAGGCTGACATGGCAGAAAAAAAACCCTACTTATAAAACATTGGAGATCACCAGACTGGTTTGAAACCAACAACTTACTACTGATGAAAAGAAGAGAATATACAGAACCAAGACTAACGAGGGAAGTGGCTCCAGCTGGGTGAAGGTGGGCGTGGCCAGCTGACAAGGGAGGCACTAAAGAGCAGACAGTTACCTGAGGAACAGGTGAATGATGTCACAGAGGAACCAAATACTAAACAACAAAACATTAAGTTTACCTAATCTCAAAATATAAAAAAATAAAAAACAAAATCACAGCTCCTGACTGAGTAGTAATATAAAGGAATATCTGGTTCATAAAATAAAAAAAAAATGAATACACCTACAACAACTAGAATAATTGCACTTTCTGCATAGATGCAGTGTGAATGCAGATTGTTGAATAATTGCTGAAAATTGCCAAAGAAGCTGAAATTTGATGTTAGGGCTAAAATCAGCAAAACATTAGCTAAAAGCTAAAAGCAGCAAAAATAAATTTTAGTTTCTTCCTGTTGCTTTAGTGTGCAGCGACGTATCTTCTTAAATGTGCTAAATAAACAAAAATGAATTTGGTTCTGTTTTAGCTAAAATAAATCAAAAATAGCTAGATGCTAAAAGTAATGAAGTTTTAGCTAAAAGTGTCATAAATAATAGCTGAAAGAAGCAAAAGACTACAGAAAAATAAAGTGCCAAAAGGCTGTCTAAAATGGCAAAATTGTAGCTAAATGCAACAAAATAATTAATTAAAAGCTAMAAGTAGCAGAAGGCCAGCATGAACCTAAAGCGCATCAACCAAACCACAATCGGGCCAATTGTGGTTTGGTTTATGTGGTGCAGGTCCATGTATGGACCACCTATGGCAAACCACATCTGGCCCACTAAAGGGCTGTCGATCTTTGGTTAGTCTTGGCCGAAGTTTTAAGAGTGTTGGTGCTTTGTGTGGGCCAGAATGGGATTAGACAAACTTTGCTATGTCAGTTGCATGTCCTYGTGTCAACAAAGACCCTAATGACCCTCAGGAGGGAGGGGAGGGAGAATAATATACTCGTGGGTTCAGCTGTCTGAATAGAACAACTCTATAAAAGTTCTGATTGCGTAAACAAAAATAAACTAAGATGGTAATAAACTGTATTTATGTGTTTTTGCCTAAAGTGAACCTGTGACCCTAAACAGTCTGAAGTTTTATTTTTCAAAGGAAAGCTCCCGTCTTTGTCTGTAATCAAAATAAATCTGTGATCTTTTTTATCGCCTTTGTTTCCGTGAGGATCTGTGTACAGTTTAGGAGTAGATGAATGACATCAATTAGCTGCTGGTGTAAGTGCTGCGTGATACGCAGCAGTGCGATGCTCGTGTTTGATTTATGTTGTATTGTGTTAATTTACGTAGTTATTGAGCCACTTATCAGTAATGAGACAACACCAGAAAGCAGCCAAGAGGGTGGGGAGAGGGGAAAAAACGAGCACAGGGTTGTTGTAAAGGCTATGAGGAGCTAATTAGAAACATTAGGTTTGCTTTTAGGAGCATACCGAGATGTCGAACAAGTTATTTTACCCAGACTGAAATAAAGTTCTCACGAGGAATGCTCAGTAACATTAGAAATACCACATAAATCCACTCCTTACTTGATTTATCTGGTGCCTAGCAGGATTTCAAAGCTCATGTTGCACAAAAAAAGTTAGACATGCAAGAAGTTTAAGGTTTTATACAAACAAGACATTTTAGACAAGTTAGACAAGTTTATTCTACAGAAATAAGTATCACATCTCATCAAACTACTTTTATTTTCCAATTCTCTTGTTTCACAGAACCCAATACTAAGTTGATGCATAGGCTACAAATGCAGTAATAGAGTTTGAGTAACCCAATTTTTGATCTATTTAAAATGAATTTCAGTGCACCGAAGGATCGTTTTTAGGATTTTTTTTATCTTGTTTGAACTTGATTGATCAAAAATTCATGAGTGAGGTAATGTGAGCCATATTTCTCAGTTTATTTATGAAACGTTTAGAAGCCCAGCCATGATCTGGACAGATGAAGTAAACTCCAGGACTCCTCGTTAGCCGGAGGCGTTCTTTGATAAATCTGAAATGTCTAATTGAGTTTGTGCCCGACTACAGAAGGACCCTCTGTGATGTGTTTGGAGACATACATCATAAAGTTTTAGTTAGACTTACCACTTTGAAACTGCAGCAATGTGCACGACCTTCAATTTTCTCTGTTTCTGCCCTTCAGGTTGACCATTCATGCAGAGTGCCCCATGCACCTGGAGGATTTCCCAATGGATGCACACGCCTGTCCTCTGAAGTTTGGAAGCTGTAAGTCAGCACAGATGGTCTCTGATAAAAATAAATAAATAATTAATAGAAGGAGGGCATACGTAGCAACACAAAAAAGTATTCCACTTTTGTCAAAAGAGAAATTTACTTTTACACAGATGAAGAGCCAGGATAATCCATGAGTTTAAAACAGTACCACTTACTGCTGAGCAAGTGGTTCAGTGCATAAAGATCAAGGTTTAAACGCCATTAAATGGGGAATATTACTCAGCTGCAAACTAAAGGAGTCAGGGCCGGTGACTCGCAGCAGCTTATTTCACATATAAATATGTGGAATATCAGGGGCACACGGGTGGCCAAGGTGTTTTTTAGGGTGGCACATACAAATAAGAAAACTACTCTGGATTTGAAAATTCAAGATGGCCTCCACAGCTAACTTGGACTAAAAATGGAAGTGGTTGTGTTAGACTTTAGTCATTTGCATAGACATGTTTTCAATATTATTCTTGCCAGAAATCAAATGAGCTCACCCTTTTGTTCTTCAAGTATTGCCTATAATCTAATTGTGTTCATTTTTAATTTTAATAATATCAATATATGAATATTTTTCTAATTTTTATCTTTTTTCAATCTTCATTGCTTTCGTTTATCGTTATCATGGTTTTTATGCGACAGGTCACTTTCTTGTAGTGCTACGTGTGAATGAAAGGAGATGGGTGACAGCAGGAACAAAAATACACAATTAGCAATGAGTCATGAATTTGAATCTGTAAGTTTTACATCCAATGAAAGCAAAGATGTTATCAAATAAACTGGAAAATATTCTGGCAATTTACAGATATTTTAGTAGGCTGGTTAAAACCAGACCCTTGTCCTTCGCTTTGCTTTGTAYGAGGATCTGGACCCTCRGCTGTAGAGAAGCGATTCTTGCTGGAGGCGTGGCCTCTGAGGTTTAAAATGATTGGATCGGTTGGCTGCAATGTATGTATGCCAGCTCCACTGTGAAGGAGGCTAAGCTAAGAAGCTAACCGGAAATTGCGTGCACTGTAAACAATCCTACTGAGAAGAGATAAGTACCGAGCTGAACAGGACGACTGTAAATGAGAGCTGCTGCTTTGTCAGACAAATTTAATTTAATTTGGAAGCCTTATCAACACGGACTGGCTTCATTCACTTCCTCCACTGCCATTGCTAAACTAACTAGCAGACACTGCGCAGAACATCTACATCGTTTTAAACTCCGCCTTCTGTTCTCTGATTGGCCCGAACAAAATTCTCCTGAAGAAATCCTTGTTTATGGGAGAAATCCCAGACAGAGCAGTGAGGGGAAACTAAAATTGAGTGGAACTGCATAGGAAGGCAAGGGCCAGGCTAATATTTTAGTGATAATTTCACAGTTGTCTTGCAGTTCAAATGTGATCAAGACCAAGATTTTTAAAAAGTGATCATGACGACGGTCTAAAGACCAAGACCGGTCTCAAGTGCTACAACACTGACGTGCAAATTTTTTGATAAATCAGCTCCTTAGTGTTTAATTCTGACAGTTCAGTTAGAACTTAGTGGAACTCATAGCAGGGCAGAAACCAACAGGGCCTGCACCTCCTCCAATCTGAAAATGAATAAAAAGTTAATAAATTTGCCAAACGTAGGTCAAATTGAAGCTTTTAATTGTTTATAACTTCATGCAAAACATCTCTTCAGATCTGATCTATGACTTTAGGGTACAAACTCCAGAAATAGAAAAGTTTAGAGATTTAAAATTTTTTCAAAAATGTGATTTTCAAGTTAGTTGCTGAAAACTGACGTTTCAGTTCACGCTCACTAGTTTGTGCCAATGTCTGTCTGACAGTTTGTTTTTATTTATGTGAATTTGTCAGCATCTACAGTGTGTAGTAGTAATGTATAAAGGTACATGAAGACAGGGGGAAGTCTCAGTGTGACGTCTGCCCTCAGGTGGTCCAGCATGGAAAACAATCATCCTGATCAGATAGCTACACAGGCTTTAGCAGGATGCTGGTGAAAACAATTGTCGCTCAGCACAGTTTGCCTCGCCTCTGACTCCAGAAGTGTAATCTAAACTGTGTTACTCAAAGAAGAGCCCATAAATCAACTCGGTGCTGAAACACGGCCGAGTTCTCTGACTGTGAGCTCGTCTCAGACGGGCAGCGGACATGCAATATCTGKTTCTATGACTCTGCATTTCAACTTTTTATGGTAAAAGTGAGTTCTGGGTTTTATGTGCTGTTGATAAGAAAGATCTTTCAAGCTGTTATCAGCAGATTTCCGCTYGACTTAAAACAAAGAGTGATTGTGGATGAGACTGCACGTCCTATCTGCAGTCATCTGTCTCCAGTCATCAGTGAGTTGAGAAGAAAAGAATCAGACAACAGTGGGGAAAAATGTTCTAGTGTTCAGCAAGAATGGACACAGAATCCACCCCCACCCCATCTAGGAGTGTGTGCATAACTTCATGTCRCTAAAAGCCCCAACAGAAAAGATTCATAGGCTATACTGTATATTATCTAAACAGTACCGGGTGAGTCAAAAGTTTCAGGACACCTTTTAATTTCAGAAACAAAAGAGAAAATTAAATATCTGAATATTCCAGTGACGGGTGAGAGGGCGAGGTGGGGGCTTTATTTTAGGCTATAACCAGAACATGACCGCCCTCTTGGATCAAGGGGAAGTTTTTCTAAAGATAGGCCCGCTCACCCATTATTTGCAGGGGTGTTCAGATTTTTAATTTTCCCTTTTTGATTCCGAAATAAAAGGGTCTCCTGTGACTTTTGACTCACCTTGTAAACTAAACAAATATAAATGTCTGCTTCAGAATAAAACCCAGAAGCTAAAAGTCCTGCCTGTTTGTTTCCAGTCAGCTTTATAGAAAAGTGTCTTTGTCATGATTTACACTTGCAGCAGAGAGCAACAAACGTTGTAGGGCAAGCAGTTATATTATATAATCACACTTTAAAATGATCTGTAACAAAGTCTGTTTATGAGATATTAGAAGCATTGGGCCTCATGCAAGAACATGTTCGTATTCTTATCCTAAATTTCTCTTACTTTTGTTCGTACAAAGGGTTCGTACGAACATGTCACGTC